CTCTTCCTCCTTCTTTTTCCTCTTTTTCTTCTTCCCCTCATTATTGCATACGTGATAATAAAAAAGCAAATCTTTGTGGAGACTTGAGTATTTCAATATTTATAACACTTTAAAATAATTTCTAAGTTCCTCTTTCTCTTTCATCCTTTTATGTTCTAGTTTACCTATATTTTGCGTAATGTAATTTATTAATATCTAAGATAATCCTATTTTTACCACCAATTTTTGTTTACTTAAATGTTATGAAAAAAGTAATTTAGGCAATTATTTTTTTCCCATGAATTTTCATTTACTTCAGTGATCTGACAGTAAAATGGATTGGTAACACAATAAATCCTAATATAATTATCCTATTCTGTTGTAGCCTATTGGAGCGCTCAACGAGACAAGGAAGGCGTACTTTGAGGAGCGGTACAACTCGTGGGAGCATGATCAGATCCCGCCGTTTCACTACGGAACTCACTACTCAACCTCTGCCTTCACCCTCAACTGGCTTATACGAGTGGTAAGAGAAACAAAGCTAAACGTAGCTTTCAAAATACTGTGGAAAATGTCCAATCAAGAGGGCCACCCATTGTTGATGAGAAAAGTGGTCGTCTTAAGTAGTTGGATGTTGTCTCCAGGGCAGGAGTGATGAATGAAGAAAACAAAGCATTCCCTTCTGATGTACCAACTGGAGACTTCTGTAAGCTTAGGACTGCCAAAGGCGTCAAAAAAAATTTTTTTTGGTCTTGGAGGGAGGACGGAAATGGAGGTTTTGGTTGTTTGTATTTCCCTTGGAAGAAGGGTGGAACGGGAGGTTTTAATGGTTTTCTTGTCTCTGAGGGGAGACGGAAAGGGAGATTTAAATGTTAGTTTTTTTCTTGGAGGGAGGGCGGAAAGGAAGGTTTTAATTGTTTGTATTTCCCTTGGAGGGAGGGCGGAAAGGAAGGTTTTAATTGTTTGTATTTCCCTTGGAGGGAGGGCGGAAAGGAAGGTTTTAATTGTTTGTATTTCCTTTGGAGGGAGGGCGGAAAGGAAGGTTTTTATTTGAAAATTAAAAAAAAAAAAAAATCTTGGAGGGAGGGCAGAAAGACGTTTTGATGTGGGTTTTTTTCTTGTTGTTGGAGATTTCCATGGTCATCTTGGACATATTTTTCGGGCTGTTAGTTGATAAAATATAGCTTTCATGGCCATGTTGGACAGGTTGGTGTCTTCGGCAGGACCACAATATATTTTTTTAAAAAGCTATGGGGAAGTGGGAAGAGGTCATTTGTACAGGTTGTTGTCTTGGACAGGTGGCTGTTAGAGTAGGTTTGACTCTATCTACCTCTTGCTAGCAGTTTTGATCCTTGATATGAAATGGTTTCATGAAGAAAAGAGTTTTCAAACATGCTCATTTTAATTTGCAGCAAAACTGGGCCAGAACAGGTACTCCATGTGAACGGGAAATATGTCAGAGTGTACGGTTTAGAATATAATATGTGTCACAACGCGGTGGAATCAGGCATTTTTTCCCCCTTTCCTTTGTTCTTTTTATAAAGTTTAAGTCTTCGTTTATTAAAAGTGGTCATTGCCACCGAGGAAAGATAGTAAATTTAACTCAAAATCAGAGAAATCGAGCCATCGACACGCTCTGCGTGTCTGTGCTGTTAACAGGACATTCAACTGTTTTTCTGTTTTCTTTTTCTTTCATCAGGAGCCGTTCACCAGCATGTTTCTGAATCTGCAAAGTGGGAAGTTTGATCATCCAAACAGAATTTTTGCCTCTGTGGCCCAGGCCTGGAAAAACTGCCAAAGAGACACGTCTGACGTCAAGGTAGGTGTCCGTGTTGGATAGTGAAATACACGCTTCACCGGGGGGTTCTCGTGGCCTAGATGTTAAGGTGTTCACTTCTCTTTCAAAGGTCCCGGGTTCGAATCTGGGTAGCAACCGAAAACTTTTCTACTCTAAATTGTCCCCTTTCACTTCCTTTCCTACTCTCCAGCATTGTTCTGTCGCTTGCTTTCAACCCCGCTTGCTACATTCACCCCCTCATCTCCTTTGCCCTCTCCTCAGGGCTCCTGACTCTTTCTGCAGCCTTTCTACTGCTACTCCTTGACTCCTTACTGCTGTCTTTCAGCCACACGCGCGCTCATATGACCTTATGCAGTTGCGAGCACTGTAAAACACTTACCTAGCGAAAGACACTTCACCTTGATCTCCTTTGATGAATACCGGTACTTACCTAATTTTGATGAGTGTGTGATCTTCTTTGATGTATCATCATCATTGTCTTTCTCACCCTAGATGTGGGTATAGGCCTTGAACAAACACTGTCCACCTTTCCCTCTTTTATGAATACGTAACCTAATTTTGGTGGGTGCGCGATCTTCTTTTATGAATACATGACCTAATTCTGATGAGTGTGTGATCTTCTTTTATGAATATTTAACATAATTTTGATGAGTGTGTGATTTTTTAAAATGAATACTTAACCTAAATATGATGAGTGTGTGATTTTCTTTTATGAATACATGACCTAATTTCGATGAGTGTGCGATCCTCTCTTAGATATGATGGTTGTGTCTTGTTATGCTCAGTTGTTAAAACACTTGGCTACAATAACAATGGCTTGGGTTCAAATTCTTACCCGGGTACTTCGGAAGCTACATCTGTTAATTAAGAAGTACTCGTTTCAGAAAAAAAAGTGTAATGAATAGCATAAACAATTAATAATGTCATTAGTATAAGGAAGGGTTTAGATAAGAAGGCTTCGGTTTCTCAGTGGGAAGAATTGATGCCATAGAAGAATGGAAGAATGTGTGAAGTTGGAAGATCTAGTTTTTTTCTCTCTGGTATGATCACGTCTTTTGATTACCCCTGAGTAGTGGAAATGGTCGATTCTAATATCTATGTGTGGTCTAGGAGCTGTGGTGTGGTTTGGTCTTCCTTTCCCATCAAACGTCTATTGTCCCTATCTCTTCTCCTTTTTTGTGTTTTTTTACTTTCTTGTAACACCTCTAATCTTTGACACTTGTATGACCTAATTGTGTTGCAAGTGGCGTAAAACACTCTCAACAAACAAAATGACTTGATGCTACTATCTATGTGTGGTCACAGGAGCTGATCCCAGAGTTCTACTGCCTTCCTGAGATGTTTATGAACAACAATAAGTACAACCTGGGCAAACAGGAAGATGGTACAGTGGTAGGCAATGTGGAGCTGCCTCCCTGGGCAAAGACACCAGAGGAATTTGTCCGCATTAACAAGATGGTAAGTGAGGGGAGAGAGCTTAGCGAATGTCTCCCTGTCGTCGTCACTGTCATCATCATCATCATCATCATCATCATCGTCATCATCATCATCATCATCATCATCATCATCATCATCATCATCATCATCATCATCATCATTGTCATCATCACCTTTGTTTTACAGCAGAAAAATTACTTGACTTGAATGTAGTTATATGTATTTAATAATATTTTTTCCTTTTAAACTTTTATTGTACTTATCTCTCCTTTTTTGTATTAGTTACTCTCTTGTAACTCCTTTAATCTTTGGCATTTATATGACCTAACTGTGTTGCAAAAGTCGTAAAACTTACTAAAACAAACAAATAGACAAGGATTTTTACCTTTTGATTAAAAAAAAAAAGACTCAGCTGTACCTATAAAGAGTTTAATATTTCTGTCAATCCAGTTTAACCATTTATCTCCTCTGTGTCTCTCCTCCCTGCTCTCCCTCCCTCCTCCCACCTCCCTCCCTCCCAGGCTCTGGAATCGGAGTTTGTGTCCTGTCAGATCCACCACTGGATTGACCTCATATTTGGCTACAAACAAAGAGGTAAGTGTGTTTGTGTGGGTGTGGGTGGGTGCGCATGTGTGCTGGTGTGTTTGTTTGTGTGTGTGTGTGTGTGTGTGTATGTGTAGGGGGGGTGAATGTGTGGGTGTGAGTTTGGGTGTGTATGTGGGTGTGTATGTGTAGGGGGGTGAATGTGTGGGTGTGGGTGTGGGTGTGTAGGTATGGATGTACTGTATGGATGGGTAGTTGGGAGTGTGTGTGTGGAGGTGGGTAAGGACCTTAGAATGATACAATGATGTGTACTGACAAAATGAGCAACTTCTCCGATTTTAGCTCTATGGACTCAGATACATGAAACTTATGGCTTGAGTTTGAAGGATTTATTAATATGAAATGATAAAAGACATGTTGCACTCAAAGAAAAATGGCATCTTCTGAAAATCTACGAATTTGGTCCCTGGGTAGATTTTATGTTGATATCTTCTTTCACTGATTTTGTGAAGTAACTCATTTTAAAAACCACACCTCACATATAGCCTCTTTGGCCCAGTTTGTGGCTGGTATTGCATACACTTTTACTGTCAGACTGTTCAAGGCAAGTCTTGGAATGAGAGTTCTTTTTAGTCTGTTCTTGTGTGATTTTACTTAGGGATTTGATAGAATGCCTTGAAGGAGTCAAGGAAACCCTGAGATATTTTTAATATTCTAATTGAAAAAGCTGCATAGGTGGCCTACTACAGAAAACTGCATGACCCCTCGACGTTTAACGGTGACAGAGGATGAAAAAGTAAAAGTAAAAAGTGCCTGGAGGCTGTGATCAGGATTTGAGTCTAGCAGAAGAAAGCCAGGAACTATTTTTGCATTTTTTTGGTCATCTTTTTTTTTCTTAAAAAACCCCCAACTAGTTCATTCTTTTCATCTCGTACTTTGATTAGTTGGTGGGTTTGTGGTGTGGTTTGTTCCTCCTTTCCTATCAAACATTTATGCTTCATATCTCTCCTCGTCCTCCTTTTTTTTGTGATTGTTACTCTCTTGTAACACCTCGAATGTTTGGCACTTAGATGACCTAATCGTGTTGCAAGCGCTGTAAAATGCTTATTATTACAAATTATCTCCTTCTTTTTTTCTTCAGGTCCTGAAGCTGTGCGAGCCACCAATGTGTTTTACTACCTGACGTATGAGGGCACAGTCAACCTAGACACAATGACCAACCCTGTTATGAAAGAGGTCAGAGGTTACCCCCAGACTTTGCTTATTGCCCTTACAGTTCTTCCTGATTAGTGTCTTCTTCTTCTTCTCCTTTTCTTTCTTTCTTTCTTTCTTTTTTCTTTTCTTTTTCTTTTTTTGTTTTGTTGTATTTTTTTTTTGGCATCTATTGGTACCAATCTTAGTTTTTGATTGATAACGTTCCTTCTTCTTTGTTTTAATTGCTGAGCCGTATGCCCCTCTCTTGAACAGATGTCCTGTAGAGCTTTTTTGCCCGTTTGTTTTAGTTTCAGTGAAAGCAACGAATGAAAGTCATAATTCTTTCGTTTAGCCTGTAGCCATATGGACATACATTTTCTGTATTAGATAGATGCTTCTCTGAAGCTCACGTGACAATCATGGGTGGTTGGAGGGCACCAACTGGTGTGTCCTACTCCTTTACTTTCATTCTGTTGTTTCTGTCTGTCTGTCTTAGTTTTTCCCTGTACTGAAAGACCATTATTGGGTTGATGTCCTTCTGTTTACTCAAACAAACAAAACAAACAAACAAGCTCACAATGAATGAATTTATTGCTCTTATCTCTCCTCCTTTTTTAGGGGACTTGTTACTCTCTTGTAACACCTCAAATCTTTGGCATGGGTGGTTGGCGGGTGCTCTGGTGTGGTTTGCTTCTTCTTTCCTATCAAACATCTATCGTCCTTATCTCCCCTTCATCATTTTTATGTTTGTTACTCTCTTGTAACAGCTCTAATCTTCTGGCACTCATATGACCTGATGCAGTTGCGAACGCCGTTAAACCTCTACTAAAACTTTAAAAAATAAAATCTTTGGCTTTTTAAAATATTTATATGACCTAATTGTGTTGCAAGTGCTATAACACTGTTGCTAAAACAAAAGCAATCGAACAAACAACAATCAATGTCTTCACAGGCCATAGAGAATCAGATCCGCAGCTTTGGTCAGACGCCCACCCAGTTGTTGACAGAGCCCCACCCGCCCCGCAGCTCGGTTATGCATTTGGTGAGTAGTCTCAGCTGTCTTCCTGGTTCTTTCTCATCTCACCAAAGCAGAACGGCTCACTCCCAGGCATGGGAATTTTTGGTTGGTCGTACCGACACGATGGAATTCTTTTGGAAAAATAAAAGTTTTCGTCACTTATTTCCAAAAAAAACCCAACCCCAAATCCCCTAAATCCCCAAATCCAACAACAGTACCTTTTCTCTTTGCTTATTTTTATTAAAGTTATTGTGTCATAGTGTGCGTGTATAAGCGATCATTTATAATTGAGAGTGATTATTCAATAACACATTTTCACACACAATTATTGCTTGGCACGAAGAAGTGTTAAATAAGCAAGGGCTAAGACTAAGACTAGTAAGAGGTGTTACCAAAGAAAACTGGCGCACTCACATACTTGTGAGTTTATATATATACATACACACACATACATATTAATTATGATTACCTCTAAAGTAATGTTTAATACTACTTATATTTAATGTATATAGCCTACTCAAGTTTTAATTCTACATTTTTATTCCCATGCCTGTGTACCTACCGCTGTCTTAAATCTCTGCCCTTGCTGGCGGTGCCATTGTAGTCTGGTGCAGGGGTAGTCTTCTGCCTGGGACAGTTGCTGACAAACATGTATACATATCAATAACATGCCTTTTCATATAATATATATATATATATACTTATTTGGATTCAAGAAGTCTTAATTAATGGTCTTTTGGTAGTGATTTCCAAATGGCTGCATCCTTGATTAATAGCATGATTCCTGTCCGTTCTTCAGTGTTGTGGTCTTGCCATCTCATGCTGTATGTGTAGATGGAGTAGTCGCTGCAGCTCATGCCTGCTTAGAGTAATGTTCAGTGGAAGGTTTATTCTGTCTAGACCTTTTTTACGCTCTCTGGCAGCCCATAAGTAAGGCTGATTCACCTTTTAATTTTATTTACATATACAGTCGAAACTGTCTAAGACAGCCACCTATTGTCAAGGACGAGAGTGGCCGTCTCAGTCAGGTGGCTGTTTTACACAGTGTCATTTTACTGTTTATAAATATGCAAGGGAGGAAATGAGAAGTGACCGTTTTACAGGTGATTGTTTTAAAAAGTGGCCATTAAAGCTGGTTCTACTGTACTAATCAAACTTATCAATGAGGAATAGAAACTGAACAGGCTGACCAGGAGTCTTTGCTTTGTCAAAAGGCAATTGTTATTCCAAATTTTTATCATATATACATATTATGGGGCTATCTTTGAATTTTGTAGAATAAAAGAAAACCAAATGGTATTTAAGAATTCTGACAACACTCAAAATCAAAGTGCAATCTAGACTATCTGTAGTTGTATACCTTACAGAAATAGGCATTTATTTTTGTTATTCCATCAATGAAAAAACATTGAACTCGGGTCCATAATCTTTTTTGCCTTTGATGGTACTCTTGAAGAAAGAGCGACAGCAATTTGTAGAGTGCAGTGGTGCGAATGTGTGCGACACAGTACATGCGATACTTTATCCTACATATTTAGAGCATTAGTTAGTTCATGTTATGCCTGCTGTCAGAAAATAACTACATTTGCCCATGAATAGATGTCTATCTCACAAATAAAGTATTTTGAGTTATTTAAGCATCAGTAATTTGAAGAGGAAGGTTATATTTATGGGGCGGTTGTGTTAATCCCATGTAGTTGTTTTAGCTAATGGAATACAGATGTAAAGGGCTGTATTTGAAATTGATTTTGGAGAGGGTGTTGTATTAGAATTCCACTTTTTCCTGTTGGGAAGCGTTAAAAAAAACCATTTAGCAGCTTTTGACGTAAACCTACAGCTTTTAATTATTATTCACCTATCGGCTGTTAATACTTATGTAGTGTAAAACTCCGCCATATGCCATTTTGAAAAGTGATGTATGATGGAGTCCCACACTGCGCAGTGGATATTCTGTGCAGTCTCTGTACTCCTTGTACAGTAAAACATGACCCTCTTGTAATACGTGAAGGAAATTATTTTCAAGCATTATTTAATTTAACTTACCAACTTCATTTCATGTTTGCAGCTTTAACTTCCACCCACTTAAAAGAATAAATCAGTTCTAATATACTTTGTTTGTCTTTTTCAGTCCCAAAAGTAGATTTTTCAGTTTCTTATTCGTAGCAAATTTTCCCTTTCTTTTGATCATTTTGTTTGGTGGAATGGGCGTTTTGGGGGGAAGGGTGTACCCCCTTTACTTTCTTTTTTTTTGTCCATGAAGGTCTAGTCTTCTGCATAACCCAATGATTTTCACTTCGCTTAGACAAAGTAACTCATAAGGCTGGAAATCATAATCTTTTGATCTATTTAAATGTTGGAACATAATTCGGATATTCCTTACTTAATTTCTGTATGTGGGATGGAAACCATGTATCTTTTTAATGAAGTGTAGTTTACATTTTTAGTCAAGATTGAATGTTTTTTCAAAATTAAATTTAGGCAAAAGCAGAAATGGGGAAAAAAGTCTGATTAAAAAATTGCTCTTTGAATTAAAGATATCAAGTCCTATTTTTATTTGATGGATCTTCAAGTTGACATCATTTCATTAAAAAAAAACACATCTACCACAAAAATGTGTAACTTATTAAAATTCCTCAGTCTACATTATTCATTTGTCAGATCATAATATGGTCTGTATATTATAGTGGCGGAAACTTCTCATGGAGCTCAAATTAGGGCGAACTGGGTATTCTAAATAAGTCTGTATTGACTGGGCAACTACTGAGTTCTCCAAACAAGTTCCTGTGCATACATACATAAAGTTCCTGTAGTGTAGCGAGACGTGATTTGGTGCCGATGCAACAAGTGAACCAGTTTGTATGTGTATATTTCTGCCACAGGTGTGTTTCCCCCCTTCGCCCAATAAGTCAGAATATCCGGTGATTCTTGCCTTGTCCTCAGTGTACTACTCATACATGGGCCTGCCTGCTTTCTAATACAGATCACGCATTTTCCACATCTAGTCTTCTTTTTATTTGTTTTGTTGGTTTTAAAAAAAAATCTGTTTTTTTTTTTTCTAGAGAGTGTACCTTATTGTTGTATTAGAAGTTTTTCCTTGGTTGAAATCAGTTGAATTTATACAATAGAGAATTAACATGTTTTTGTTTTTTTAATATGTTCTTGCTAGCACTTTGTCACTGTTGCAAAAAAAAAAAAAAAAGAATTTTAAATGAGTAATTCTATTTGAACCTCCTTTACATGGCGAGTCAGAAATGTTTGCGGGTTGGTGGTTGGTCGGTGCTCCAGTGTGGTTTGTCCTCTTTCTTTTCTATCAAACATCTATCTTCCTTATCTCTCCTCCTTCTGATTTGGGTTTGTTACGCTCTTGTAACACCTCTAATTTTGACACGTTGTGTTGCAAGTGCTGTAAGACTCATACTAAAACAAACAAACAGAAAAAAAAAGAAATGTTGGAGTTACTTATTTGTTTTGGGACAGTGACAGCTTTATGTTTTATGTCTAATATCTTAAACTGGGCAAAAAGATATGTTTACTAATAGCCTGCAGAGTGATAAGGTAAAGGTTGGAGTCATATTTTTATTGTTTTTTTGTGTGTATAATTGTCATACTGTTTGGAAATATGTTTTTAGCGTATGTATGCCTCTTACTAACGTTTTACTCATTGCTTGTACTTTTTACAGTGTCCCTTATTGCATTATTTAGATTTAGAAGTTGGAAGGCAAGAAATTTCCATATACAGGAATTAATTTAATGAATTTTGCTCGCCTGTGTATGGAGATTTTTTGCCCTTTGTCCACAATGTTCGTTTTAAAGATCGAGTTTCTTTCTGGAGCCGAGAAAGTGCTGCAAGATATGATTGACTAGTCAAGATACCCGCTTATTTGGCTGCATGTCTTTGAGATATGCTAGTCTTTTTGTGTGCCCTAAGTTTTTACCTGAATTTCTTCTCCAGCTTATAGAAAAAAATCAAGAGCGCAGAAGTATCCTCAATAAGGTTTTCATCCTTTGGTTTTTGTCTTAATCTTTTATAGCTTCTTTGTATTTTAATTTCTGATATTCTTTCCGCTTTTTTGCCTGAGAGACCCTTTCATTGCATTTGAGTGGTGACTGTGTGAGTGAGCGAGTGAGTGGTTAACTTGAGTAAATAGGACCCCTATATTCCTAGCTGACACATATAGCTTTGTTAAAAAAAAGATTTCAGTTCAACTAGACTGATGAGCATAGTGATTGCTTTGTGTAAGACCCGGCCACACATCATTGTAAAAAGTGATGAATGAGGAGTCTTACTCAAAGCAATCGATAATATAAAATGATAATTACTGGCCTCCTGATTGGATGTAATGGCTCAGGGAATGATGAATGTTCTAAGATATTGGAAGAGCTTCATCTGTTACTGATTAAAATTTGTGTTTGGACTCATTGTAAGAAAAAAGCCAATAATATTTCAACATTTTGGAGTCTCCAACTAACAAGAGTATTTTGAAGTGCAAAAAAAGAAGAGCTTTTAATCATTTTCTTTATGCAGTGTTGCACATAATTTATTATGCTCGTTTAGCTGTTCATCTGCGTGTAGTGGTTCTTTTCTTATTAACTTAAGCAATGCTTTTCTGAAAGGAATAATGCCTGTAGCCACTGTGGTGCTGTGTAGACGCTTTTATTTCTCTGTTGCACCTTGGAGCTCCTTTATCTTTCCTATGGAGGAAACACTCTTTTGGAAATGTATCTGCAAATTTAGTTTTCTGTTTTCCTTTCATATTATAGCCCATTTTACAAACTGTGATGTTCAAATTGACATGTTCCTATGTAGCTTAGTATTACCGTGTTTGTAATGTAGTTTAATGTGATCTTACCTTAAAAAAAAAACCCCCCAAAAACCCTGCATTAAAAGAATTTGAAGCGAGGTTTTCCATCAAATTTTTTCTCTCTTTCTTTTAAAATCTAGAACTAAAGAAATAGAGTACTTATGAACTAATAATGCAAGTCTAATCAAATATATTTTCTTAGTTGTCTCAACCTCACAGTGCAAGGGTATTATACGATTACTTGTTGCTTAATAGTGATGCATAAGTATATATTATATATATGGACATAATAATACTAGCTTTTTAGTGAAAGCTCTCTTTCAAAGTAATAACTTCGCTCAATCAACTGAAAATCTCAAGCTGAGGTTTGGAGATTTAAAAGAATACCAAACTAGTTTTATTATTGATAGTATGGAATGTTTGTTGGAATGTCTCCACAGCAAATTTGAAGAATCTGTGTACTTGTTATGAGTTAAAAATGGTCTGCACATTCTTTCAAAATTATTCTTTTATGGGAACAGAATAAGGTTAAATACATTGGAAATTGGGATGGCAACTCATAAAGTGATAAAATTGACCAACTGTTGGAAACTCCTATCTGTGCGAGGTCCCCCTTGTGTGATCTTTCACTAATTCTCTAGTTAATAAACACACTGCTTCTTGATATATAATAATAGGCTGTGATTTTTCTAAATGTGAGCACAATTTACTGCTCATGTTCATATAATTAGATGCTTAATGTAATGATTATATTTTAGTATGTGAACAAAAGGTTATTGCTGTCCAAGGATCAAAATATCTGTACATGTTATCTGTCACAAGCATCGAGCATCAATGATGAACAAAAAAAAAAAGAAAAAAAGACTTAACTACCTAGTGATATTTCAAGACATTCTTGTATAAACAGCCTTTTGCAGGGCAGTCAGGGTAAAGGAAAGGATTTAATAATCAAATTTCTCTTTAGTTGAAGTTGCTGATCATTTGGGCTGATTCTATCAAATCTTTCTGGTCATCAAAACTTTTTCATCTCATATTAGATGATCTGTATTGGTCAGATTTGAAGTGAGCCCAAGAAGTGTGTTACTTTTCTTTTAAAGTTGCACATTTTTTTGGTGACATTTGTGATTTTTTGCTGATGTTTGCTCTGAATGCGAATGAGTAATTTTTATCGGAACATGTATTGTTATCTATATTTGGCTATCTTATCATCTCCTAAACAGTCAAAAAAAGAATTAATTTTTGCAAAGAGTGGACATAAAAAACCCGAACAATGCTTGATCTTCTGGTGGTGGAATCATACCAAGTTGAATGTATGTCCTTTTTTTTGTTGTTTGGTTATGTTTTTTTAAATCAATTTTGACACCTCTCCCCTCTGTTATTGATTATTGAACAGCGATATGGTTATGGGTTTACCTTTTTTAAGACTCTTTTCTTTTAATTTCCATTAATTTCAAATGGTTGACGGGTTATTTTCTTTTTATTTTCCTTTTAACAGTAAAGGTTTGTTTCATTAGCTTTTGATTTCTAGTCAATTTTTAGAGGGAATAATTTGATAGTCATTCCAGCAGTGCCTTTCTTTTCATTATATATTGGTTACATCTGTTAAGGTAAAATTGTTAAATGGTTGCTTTGCTTTTATGGGAACATTTGAAATGGTGTAGGGAAGGAAAGGGGTGTTATGACAGTAAATTATAGGGCCAGATATTCAGTATGATGGAGGTGAGAAAGATATGTCGCTGAGTTGAGTTATTGTATTACAACACGAAGAAGGAACGTTTTGCAACCTCCAGTGAAAATACTGGTTTATCACATATTCAGATTATAAGTTTCTTCAGTAAAACTTTTGTACAGTCAGTACACTGTAGCTCTGGTTTTATGGGTGATTGGTGGGTGCTATGCTGTAGTTTACTCTTTCATTCCTATCAAACATCAATCATCCTCATCTCTCTCCTTCTTTTTTGTGCTTGTTACTCTCTTGTAGCACCTCTAATCTTCGACACTTATACCACCTTATTTTGTTGCAAATGCCGTAAAATGTTTATGAAAACTAAGCTGCTTCAGCAAAGCTTTTGTACTGTATAATATGTTCTCAGACCTTGAAATATGTTTGCCTATGTCACAGTACACTGTGGCTCTGGTTTTCAGGGGAAGAAGTTTCTCCGAACTAGGAAAGGGATACTGAGTCTCAGAACTTGATGTCAGGAAATAATGATATGTAGTTTGACCTTCAGAAGAGGGTCCTGTATATTATTGTTCGTATGATATATAGTTTGACCTGCAGAAGAGGGAACGGAATATTATTATATATACACGTATGTGCCGTCCGTCAAGGTTTTGAATGTCCTTGTGTTTGCCCCGCCCACAGAGCCCCATGATGTTCTCCAAGAACCAGGAGGACGTGTGCATGATCATGAAGTTCCTGTCCAACTCGCCGGTCACTCACGTGGCAGCCAATACACACCCCGCCGTGCCCTTACCTGCGGTCACTTCCATCACCTGCAACCATAACTATGCCATCAACAAGTGGAACAACAACTACATGCGTAAGTGAACTAGTAACTTTTTTAAAAAATGTGTTTTTGTGCCCCCCCTGAATGCAATTTATGATATACAGAAAAGTGTGGGTGGTTGGCGGGTGCTCTGGTGTGGTTTGCTCCTTTTTTCCTATCAAGCATCTATCTTCCTTATCTCTCCTCGTTCTTTTTTGTGTTGTTACTCTCTTGTAACACATCTATTCTTTGGCACTTATATGACCATATTGTGTTGCAAGTGCTGTAAAACTCTTACTAAAACTGAAAAAAACAACTAGACATGGAATAATATCAATAGGCTAGCCCAGGATAAGGAAAGATGGGAAGTGCTTGTTTGTGGCTTATACCCTGATGCAGGATGAGAAAAGCAGTGAAGGTCTAGTTGTTAGGCTGCCGGACTCGTAATCGTGAGATTGCGAGTTCGGGGGTTCGAGCCTCAGCTCGGTCCAACACTGTGTTCTTGGGAAAGGCACTTTATACAAATTCCCCATTTGGTTCGGTCTTTTCGGAGATGGACGTTAAACTCGGAGGTCCCGCCTCTTATATAACTTAACAGTGTTGATAGAGATGTTAAACCTATACTATTTCACTATTTTTCACTAGAGGCAGTGATTAGGATTGACAATATTTAGACCACACACACACACACACACACAAACACACACGCGCGCACACATACACTGGTGAATCTTATCTCAGGTTTCCTATGTGAGACGGCGGAGTGTGCTTCCGCTACCGCTCAGTAGAGCTGTACCTCGGTAGCAAACCCGCTCGTGCTTGTAAGCCCCTAGTTCAAGTTCCAAGCCTCAAATCACCAGGTCAAATCATCAAATCAAATTACCAGCATGATAAATTGAGTCTAATCCGGTCCACACCAACCAGCAATCCGCGAGGCCACTCGTGTCAGACCCCCCTCATCCTCCCCACCCTGCTTACAATCCGCGAAGCCACCTCCGTCAGAAAAAAAGAGAGGGGGAGAGAGAGGGAGACCCCGCTCACAGTGTCACTTCGCAGCGGGGCCTAGAGCTGGAGTCTGCTCGATTTATCGAAGGCTTGCGAGCAGCGAACTGGCCGCCAAGTCTCCAATCTCGCTCGCAGCACAGCAGGACACTTGAGTCCTATGATTTGATTTGCCTGCTCGCAACCTGGCAAGACTGTCCGCGAGTCACAACACACTGGAAGTTCCCCCAGGTAGCAAGCCGGAGGCAAAGCAAAGCACAAGCCTCATCGCAATTAGCCTCTGGCGCAGCCGTCCGCTGCTCGCTAGCCTTCGATTAATCGAGCAGACTCCAGCTCTACCCCTCAGACACTGGTGTGTCGGTGGTTGGGGGGTTCTCTGGTGTGGTTTGCTCCTTCTTTCCTATCAAACATCTGAATCTATTGTCCTGATCTCACTTCTTTCGTTTTTGTGTTTGTTACTCTCTTGAAACACCTCTAATCTTCGGCATTTATATGACCGTATTGTGTTGCTAGAGCCATAAAATTCTTACTATAACTAAAACTGACTAGCAGAAGTAGTTGTAGTATTTATTGTTTTTATTATTATTACTATTACTATTATTATTATTATTATTATTATATTATTATTATTATTATTATTATTATTATTCATCTACAGCTCAAGCCAACTCTGCCAGTTTCTCCTCGGACAAGACGGACCCTGCAGCACCCCCCAACCTGCCCTTAGCTATGGACCAACTGCTAGGTATGTGAGAGAAGAAAAGGACCTAAAAAAATCAATAATTTGTTAACATTATTACCTGCCTCCCCAGACATTGACCTGTCAATTCTTTGCCATATCGACAGACCGAAGGGCTAGAACCCAAATGGCCGCTGGATCGTAAAAGTAAAGTTAACATTATTGTTTTCCTTTACTCTAACCTCTGCACCTCAGATACAGGAAGAGAGAAAAGCAAAGGACTTTTCAAAAATATATATATTTTGTTAACATTGTAGTTTCCCTTTACTCTGCCACTTTGTCTGTCACTACTCCTCAGATGCGGGTAAAGAGAAAAGAAATGGACCCAAAAAAATCTTTCATTCCCCTGGGCAGTGCTCCCGAAAGAAGTGTCTTTAGGCCATTCCCAAAGGGGGGACATTAACCATGTTCTTATGCCCAGTAGAACTGTAATTGTAAATGGGCTGATTCATCAATGTCATGTTCATAACTGTGCCTGAGCTGCAACAGCGAACTGCTGCTTTTTCTTTCCCACTCCTACCTATCGTCATGTTTCCTCTACTTCTTTTGTATGTTTGTCACACTCTTGTGACCCGCTATTTCCAAGGTGCCTTGATAGTCGAAGCAGACTTTGTGCTGTTGAAGGTAGAGAGGTGAGCAGAGTTAGTCTGATTCCCAGTAAGGGCTTCTCTGTTGGCATCCACCCCTTTCATGTGTTCATATTACCTTATGCAGTTGCGATCGCCGTAAAGCCTCTGCTAAAACAAAACAAAAAAATTTGTTAACATTGTTGTTTCCATGTACCACTTGGCTGCATAGGTCTTTGTGTGAGATAAAAAAATATAAGAACTATAGAATTTAAGTGCTTTTTTTTACACCTCCATTGACACAGGTTAGACTATTTTGGAGGTTGGGCTTTCTACCCTGCTTGTTAGGGCCAACTCTAACCTCTACACCTCAGATGCGGGAAGAAAGAAAAGAAAAGGGACCGTAACCCTATACGTACGCCCTGGGGTCTTTTTGTACCCCCGGGGTTGTATTCTTCACATTTTAGAATACTTCTAGTACGAAGATCTCTGTGAAACTTTCAGTAATTCTCAAAAAATCATTTTGACACACTGCTATGCATAGCGTACGGATTGGATTAACAAGTAAATTTTCTCTTTGGAAAGTGGTGGCACAGAGTTCCCCACGTCGTTTGGATACGATAGTAAAACACGACGTACGGATAGAGTTAAGAATTAAGTATTGTGTGTAAGTGTTTTTTTACACCCCCATTGACACAGATTAGATTACTTTGAAGGTGGGCTTTCTACCCTACCTGTTAGGGCCAACTCAACCGCTACACCTCTGATGCTGAAGAAAGAAAAGAAAAGGACCCCCCAAAAATATCTGTAATTTGTTAACGTTGTTGTTTCCTCTGAGTGGGTGGTTGGCGGGTGCTCAGGTGTGGTTTGCTCCTTCTTTCCTATAAAAAATCTATCGTCTCTATCTCCCCTCCTTTTTTGTGTTTGTTACTCTCATGTAACACCTCCAGTCTTCGGCACTTATATGACCTTATTGTGTTGCAAGTGCCTTAAAACTCTCACTAAAACTAAAGCTAAAATGTTTCCTCTGGACAGTGTTGAACACAGGCCTCCAGCGGAGGTCCCTGGGCGACAACTTTGACCAGCGGCTACCGGTCAACCACCACTGCTTCATCACCACGGCCGACAACCGCTTCCTCTTTGCCTGCGGCTTCTGGGATAAGAGCTTTAGGGTCTACTACCTGGATACAGGTGAGATAAAGACGTTTGTCGTGGGTGGTTGGCAGGTGCTCTGGTGTGGTTTGCTCCTTCTTTCCTATGAAAAAATTTGGTGTTTGTTACTCTCTTGTAACACATCTAATCTTCGGCACTTATGTGACCTAATTGTGTTGCAAATGCCGTAAAACTCTTAATAAAGCTAAACTAAGACGTTTGTCTAAGGGATGTATAACACCTTTTTTCAACACTAACCTCTGCCAGTAAATTTTGTTATGTGAGAATGTGTTGTTATGGGAGAATATGTGTGTGTGTGTGGGGGGGGGGGGGGGTGTCTGGGAATTGTGTGTGTTGGTGGGAGTTGTGTTTGTGTGCGTGTGCGTATGTGTGTGTGCGTGCGTACCTGCCTGTGTGCGTACATGTGTTTCTGTCTGTCTGTGTTGTTCTTGTTGATCTTGTTGTGTTTGTCTCACAAAGTGCATTTTCTGTCATTTGATTCGTCAGTGAAGTGATTCTGCATGTTAAAACACTAACACTTAGAGTAGAGCCTTGTAGGGAATTGGCACTATATAAATTCTTATTATCCCATATTGTTATTATTATTATTATTATTATTATTATTATTATTATTATTATTATTATTATTATTATTATTATAATCTTCATCATCATTATCATCATCATCATAAATAATTATAATACTTATTATCATCATCATCATCATCATCATCATCATCATCCTCATCATCCTCATCCTCATATCACCATCTCATTTTCACCGTTCTCTCTGTTCAATCCCTATGTGTGTGTCCCAGCCCGCATCATTCAGGTGGTGTTTGGTCACTTCGACGTGGTCACCTGCCTGTCCCGGTCCGAGTGTAACGTGAGCCAGGACTGCTACGTGGTCACAGGCTCCAAGGACTGCACGGTCATGGTGTGGATGTTCAGCGCCAAGTCGCAGGCTATCCTCGGGGACAACAACAGTGAGTGTGACACCGAGGCTCGATTCTTCTATTTTTAGAACTGAGCTGTCGCACACCCTACGGGGCGGTGCTACTGACTGAAGTGTGTTTTGGCCATTCCCAAAGGGGGGACATTAACCATTTCTTACGCACAGTAGAATTGTAATTGTAAATGGGCTGATTTATCAGTGTCATGCTCATAACTGCCTGAACTGCAACAGGGAACTGTTGATTTTTCTTTCCTAATCCATACAATCGTCGTTATTTCCTCTACTTCTTTTGTATGTTTGTCACACTCTTGTGACCGCTATATCTGGGGTGCCTTAATAGTCGAAGCAGACTTTGTGCTTTTGAAGCTAGAGAGGTGAGCAGGGTAAGCCTGATTCCCTGTAAGGACTTCTCTGTTGACATCCACCCCCAAAGCTCTATCAAAGATTCCCCTTAGACCAGACCATCAATGATTTATTTATAGAGGCACCAGCCATCCATGTCCAGGTGCTGTTTTAGCCTCGAGATTCCCCTTTCAATATCGCTAAAATGCTGTTTAGTGCTATGATCAAGGCTTACAATTTTCTTGGTGGTCATGATTCCTGAAAGGAACAACGCAACAAAAACTAGTTTTTTTGTCACCTGTGATGAAAGTACCCAAACGGACTAAAGTGGATTGTTTGCGACACCGGCAATATGTATGAAATTGTTTTACGGGTCTAACCATTCTTTTTAACCCTTTCAGTGCTGATGAGGCGTTTCCACTTGCGTTTGTGGAGAGGAGACTAGGAAATTCATTTCCAAGAGATATTAAACAAAGCTGTAATATGTTTTTAAGAAATATGCAACTCCCAAGTTGCTGACAGATCTTCTAAAAATATATTCTCAAGTAAATGAATGGCTGAGAACCAGTCTGTGAGTGCACAATTGAGCATGTGTCATGACACGATGGAATTAGGCGCTCGTCAGTTTTTGGGCATATAGAGTTACTGGTATTATCTTAAAGTTAGTTCATTTGTCTTGCTTTTGGTGAAAAAAAAACCCAATCTATGTTGAATAGAAGTCGAGATATTTGCGATTAAAGAGGTTGGGGTGAGAGAAACTGACCTTAAAAATTGGATGATTTCCATAGCTTTAGAGTCCTTGGAAATGGAAAATTTACTTTTTTTGTGCCTTTAATCAATGTTTTTCAGTAAAATGCTCACAGAAATGTATTTTTAAACGAATATTAATGGTGCTGAGCAAAAAAACAAACAGAAAAGGATAAAAATTGCCATACGAGTGAAAAACTGCTGATTTCTTGGATTTCATTATTTTGACGAGCGACTGTTTTCACCACAATGCCTCACATATGATACGCCAAAAACAGCACTGAAGAGGTTAATGAAATTATTTTAAAGCTGCAAAGAATGTTGTGTAGATATCTAACACAAGATAAATGTGAAGAAATGCGCTGTCCTGTTCCAGGCATTGAGATGCCGACCCCTCGCACCGTCCTGACGGGCCATCAGTCGGAGATCACATGTGTGGCCACCATCGCTGAGCTGGGACTTGTGGTCAGCGGATCCAAAGGTCAGTTGGTCAGTCTGATGAGGTCTGTCTCACTTATAGCTTGGTCACTTTTGTCTGTCCACAGTTCGTCATCATTATCATTGCCTTTCTCTCCCTGCATCAGGGTATAGGCCCCCCCCCTTAGGGCGGTGCCACTGACTGAAGTGTCTTTTGGCCATTCCCAAAGGGGAGACATCAAGTTGTTTTTATGCACAGTGAAAGTGTAATTGTAAATGGGCTTATTTAACAATGTCATGCTCATAACTGCCTGAACTGTAACAGAGAACTGCTGCTTTTTCATTCCTAATCCTTACTATCTTCATTTTTCTCTACTTCTTTTGTATGTTTGTTACACTTTTGTGACCCGCTGTTTCCGGGGTGCCTTAATAGTCGAAGCAGACTTTGTGCTGTTGAAGCTAGAGAGGTGAGCAGAGTAAGCCTGATTCCCTGGAAAGACTTCTCTGTTGCCATCCACCCCTTGGCGCTCATATGACCTTATGCAGTTGCAAGTGCCGTAAAACCTCTACTGAAACAAACAAGGGTATGGGTCACGAGCGGTCCACAGTTACATTGGAATAAAAATAGACTGATCAGTTTAATGTTCTCAGGATGATCTCCACAGTACATTAGTTCTAGCGAGCATCATTCTCATGTTTTAAGTTGATGATGCCACTATGTTTTGTTTCTTTTAAAGACAAAGCAATGCAAAAACAAAAACTTATTTTAGGTCATTGCATGTGGTTATAAAAGTTGAAACAAAATCTAAAAGCCTATTGATGTAGGCCGTTGCAAAAATAAGGTTCCAACAGGTTTTCTTTGATGTTAGCCTGAAGCTGGTAAAGAAAAACATAATAGGTGATTTGCCACATACACCTTAAGCATCTTAAGTTAACCTATTTTCATCAACACCTCATTTTAGTGCACGCCTATGAAACATGGTCGAACAGACAGGAGAAACGTTTTGTGATTACAATGAATTTAATAAGGGGGCAGGTTGGTGTCCATGTATCAAAATGAGCAATTTTGGCAAGGTTGCTGAAAATCTTTTTTTGTAGTGATCCTGTGTATACAACTGAAGGGCAGTGTTTAAAAAGGTCTCAAATTCTTTTTTTAAAATGGTTGCTATAGCAGGTTCAATGGTACTTGTGAGGCGTGCTGACGAAATGAGCTACTTCTCACTATCCATGAATGGAGATATTGGCCCAAAAATCGTCACTTGGGCCAAATTTGTAGATTTTCTATTGATGCCATTATATTCTTTAACTATGCCATGCCTTTTATAATTTCATGCTTATAAAGTGTAAAAACTTCATCTGTAAGCGTTATGTATCTATTTCCATAAGGCTTGAATCTGAGAAGTAACTCATTTTGTCGGCACGCTTCACATTTGTTTGGTGTCTGTCCCAGATGGTCCGTGCCTGGTTCACTCCCTGAGCGGCGACCTGCTGCACTCCCTGGACCCCCCCCCGTCCACGTGCCTGTCCCCGAGAATCATCGCCATCTCACGTGAGGCGTACATCAACCTGGTCTACGACCGCGGCAACGTCTGCATGTTCAGCGTCAACGCCAAAATGCTGCATTTCATGGAGCACAAGGAGAACATACAGGCGGGTGGTGCTGGGAACACATTGGCTCAGCTCAGAATTGTCAAGTTAACTTTGATCAAATTAGAGCTCTTAGGTCAAATCAGAGCTCTTAGGTAAAATCAGAGCCTTCTGAGTGGGTGGTTGGTGGGTGCTCTGGTGTGGTTTGCTCCTTCTTTACTATCAGACATTTATCATCTTTATCTCCCCCTTTCTTTTTTGTGTTTGTTACTCCCTTGTAACACCTCTAATCTTCGGCACTTATTTGACCGTATTGTGTTGCAAGTGCCGAAAAACTCTTATGAAAAGAAAAAAAGAGCTTTCTGATCCCCCACCGGCCCACCTTCAAAGAAGGTTATGGTCTTTGCCCTAGCGCCTTAAGCTCTAAGAACATGAGTTCAATTTCCATCGGTAGAAAATGTTTTGGTAAGTAGATTATCTCCAACAAACAGTTTGAGTGAATATTTCGCTCAGACACACAGGGTTCAAGGGGCATGCTGCTTTATGAACTGAATGATGCTGATGGGGATGCAGAAACAATTACAGCGATTGTCAACATAAATCAAATACATACCGTGCAAAGAATATCTGGATAATTTGAGTATGCGATTTTCGAACTACAAGTATAAAAAGAAAATTAACCAACTTTTCTGTCCAGAATCTGAAGGCATCTGATTATAATGTGAAGTGTTGACTGCCGTATGAATAGCACTTGAAGAAAATTTTTTTGTTTGTTTCCATCTGTGGTTAGGCCTGAGGTTTGGAAGATAATTAGTTTAGGGGGATGGAGGTAAACAAAGAAGTGACATCGATGGCCTAGTGGTTAGGCTACCGGATTCGTAATCGCGAGGTTGCGAGTTCGGGTGTTCGAGGCGTGGGCCCGACGTTGTCCTTGGGAAAGGTACTTTACACGAATTTTCCTCACGTCACCCAGGTTAGAATGGGTACCCGGCCCTAGACAGCGAAAGACCTTGTCAGTATGTTAGTATTTTAACGCCTATAAATGATTGTTTGCACTGTACGCTTCCCGGGAAGCTGAGGTTGTTTCAGAATGCTCTCAGGTCTGCTGGGGTAATAGTATAGATCGTGAAGCACATAGAGCTTGCTGTTGAGCGGGGATGTGCGCTGTACAAATGCTATCTATTATTACTTTAAGTATAGATCGTGATGTTCTTGTTTCTTTTTTTCCCCTTCAGGCTTTGATCCTGAGCCGAGACGGGCAGTACATGATCCTGGGCGGAGACTCCGGGGTGGTGGAGGTGTGGCGGGCCAACGACTTCAGCCTCCTCTACACCTACCCAGTGTGCGACAGTTCCATCCGCTCTCTGGCTCTCACACATGACCACAGGTGAGTCGATGTGTGACTAATAGTACGGATAAATAGCATTTATGCTGCATTTTTCCATTTTCTAAAAAACACTTAATGGGCATTGCATAAAAAAAGACATCACATCTTAAAAATTAATCGACATTTTATGCAAGACACAGTATTATATTTATATATATAATGTGTAGTGTGTAGACGGGTTTGGTGGGTGGTTGGCAGGCCCTCTGTTGTGGTTTCCTCCTTCTTTTCTATGAAACATCTATCGGTCTTATCTCACCTTCTTCTTTTCTTTGTATGTTACTCTCTAGTAACTCTAGTACTCTTTCTTCAGCACTTATTTAACCTAATTTTGTTGAAAGTGCCTTAAAGTTCTTACTAAGAAAAGACAAAAGGAAAAAGAAATTGTTTGTGTGAGTGTGTGTGTGTGTGTGCATGTGAGAGAGTGAGTGTGTGTATTTGTATGCGTGTGGGTCTACTCCGAAATGATCCAAACTGTATTGACAGAGTCGTAATAAACCTTTTGATCCTTCAACTCACCCCCTCCTTCCTTGTCTCCCTGTTTCAGATTCCTGGTAGCTGGCCTGGCCACCGGCTGCCTGCTGGTGTTCAACATTGATTTTAACAAATGGCACCACGAGTTCCAAGAAAGATACACTTAGATCCCCCCCACCCCCACCCCCACCCACCCCCATCTCGGGCCGGCCAAGTCTTGCTTCACTTCACAGATGAATCTGTATGCTGCTTTATACCGTCATTTTTCCTACTGGTCAGCTGGTTTTTAGCTTTCCTCTTCATCTACATCTCAGATTTTATTTGCGCACGAGGGGAGAGGGGAAAGAAGTTTGTGTGTGTAATTTAATGAATGACTCCAAGATGGGTTGCCTTTTCGCATTCCTTTATTCATTTTTTTTTTCAGATGTCATAAAACAATTGTCTTGAACCGATGTTTGCTTCATTGCTCTGAGTATTTTATTATTTTGACTGTCCTCCATGATCCAAAAGAAATATTTTGTCTGTCATGATTATGATCAAATATGTCGGCAGTCTTTTGTGATAAAGAACAGTTCCTACAACTGATATTCTTTTCTTTTTTAAATTGTTTAAATTTTGAGTGACTTGTATGGGGATACCTATTGGTTCAAAGGGAAAAAATACCTAACCAGAAAGTCAAAATGTGATTGAATGTGAGGACAGGAGAGGTTGATTGCGATGAGCAAGGAAACTATGAGGACGAAGTGTTCCCAGTTTTTCCCTCACATTTTGTGCTTTTCTCCGAGTGTACCGTTAAATTGCTGGGTTGTTAAAGCATTATGTGTGAACTGTTCCTTTCGGTGATCTCTTTCACAAATGTATGTGGTTGTGTGACTGACCTGGAATATTATTAAAGATACTTTCCAGCATTGTAGGTGGAATATTTTGCTACTGTGTGCTTTGCATGACTAATGCATAAGATGTATGCAACTGTTATTATTGGAACATGATACTACTTCTCATTGTGTAGTGTGGTGTGGTATGGTGTGATTTTGAACTCTCTTGTTCAGGTTAACAGTTGGTCATAATTAATTGTGGAGGTTGGAAATCATTTTCTTTGTCTCGTCCAGGAAAATTCTTTTCTATCAAAAGTTTTCTCAAAAGTATGAAATTTTTAAAAAGACCCTCATGTTTCGGAAACAAATTCTGAGGCCAGGCAAAAAAACAAAAACGAACGACACTCTCCTTTTTAAAATGAGAAACATTTGCTTGTGATGTCCAGTAATAGAATGCATCTCCTGTTTTCCTACTATCACCACCAAGCACACACAGCAATGTGCTAAATATAGATTGTATGTCCTAGTTGGGGAAAAGGTGAAGAAAATGTTTACCCATGACGACCTTACAGCTGGTTAACAGTTACGAAATGTTATCTATTGCATGATGTTAACAGTAACAGTTACAGCATGTTAACAAGACAGGAATAACATTTCAGTGATGGATGTGTCGTGGGGACCTCGGAATTGAGACTTCTTGTACAGAATGGCCTTATTTTGAGTACTGGGTCTATTTGGTTCTAATATTCTAAGGATCCAAGCTCTAGTTGAAGACCACCTCTCTTGTAAGTCTTTTTTAGCGTGGGGGATTGGAAGGTCTTTCTCTAGAGAGAGACCACTGTAAACAAACAATGTTGTCTTGAGTGCAAAGTAGCCTGAAATTCATGGGAAAGAGTTGCAGAGTGATTCATGGTAAGATTTTAAGAATTTGCTAATGTGTGACTACTGCATGATAATCTCCTCAATAAACCATTGATTTTGTTTTTGTTGTTGTGTACATGACCCCGGCGTTGATGCTCAGACATTTCTCTCATTACTTCCTTGTATTAAGAAGGAAGGCAAGAGATTTTGTTGTGACTGCTGAAGCCGATGTTGTCAGTTACCAGCACTGTCGGGATCTCGCTCTGTGTGTGTCTTTGTCTTGACCTAGTTCTGTGTGTTTCAACCTGCATTTCTGCAGATTTGAGACGCTGTCACGGAGTTGCTCATGCACACATGTATTTGATAATTATTATTATTATGATGATGATAACATTCCAAACCAGTTGTGCGCAAAGGAGTTGTGTTTTTGCCGTACAGTAGTTGTCTTCACCTAAGTTCCCGCTGCTCAGGAGTTGTTCTTTTTTGTTTGTTTTGTTTGGGGTTTTTTTTTGGGGGGGGGGAGGGAGAAGGAGAAACGGGATGTTGGGCCAGTAAGATCCGATTTGATAGGGGTAAGTAAGGGGCAGAGTAGTCCATGATTGAACTGATAATAAAATAGTCTCCCCTTTCTGTACTATTTCTAAAGAAAAGTGAGATATTGCCTGTATAAATAATAAGACTGTGGAATGGTAGATGTAGACCACAGTTTTGTTTTCCATTTCTCACTGAGTAGGTGTATATTAGTTTCACGATTATCATTAATATTATTGGTATATCTTTTAGTTGTGTTTATTTTTAATCAGTTATTTTTATTCTTATTATTTGTATTTGTATTCTTGCAAGGTTTTGGACAGCTTTGACTCAAGATTTTATTTGGTTGATAGGTTTTTGCTTTCTAATATGTTGTGATAATCTATTGTTTCAAATGGCTTCCTTACTTTTAGATGTACTATCTGATAATTCATCATAAGAATTGTTTTAGTAATTTATTTGGTGCAAATTCAACGTCTCAGTGTGATCTTGTCTTCTCTTGTGAAGGGCTACAGATTTGCTTTGGACCTTTTGAATCGTAGGAACTTGTTATATTTCTTTGAGGGGACTGTAGTCTGCAATAGGGGGGAGAGAGAGAGAGAGTGTGTGTAATTGTTAAACAAGCCTTCCTGAAAAATAATACGTCACACCTATCTTCTTTCTTTGTTTAGCAACTCGGTCGTTTTGTTCCAGTTAAGAAGTAACAATTTCTTTACGATTCGTTCTTAATAAAAGTTAAGTTCGTGAAGCAAAGGAGCGCGTACTGTTGTGAAGGTACAGCAGATCGGCTGTTTTGAAGATCAGGCATGGGCAAGGCTGTCCATATCGTGAGTCGGATGAAATGATTCCGAATATGTCGGAAACAAAATCAGGAAAGAATTGAATTTGGTTGAAATACCCGAGCTATCAAAATGGATGCTAAAACTGACACCATAGCTTCATATGCCGCTCAAGAGCATTTTCTGTTGCTTCTTGCTGGGCAGGAAACTACTGATTTTTATTTTTGAAATGGACAGTTATGTTTTTAAAAGTTATCAACTTGCCGCAGGTTACATTTATCATCAATTACTGAGTCAACTCAAGTGCCAGATTCAAACTGCTCGCGGGCCGGATCTGGACCACGGGCTGCGGTTTGCCCATGCCTGGGTTAGATGTTATTTTTTTTGGTGTCAGGTTTGCTCTTTTATGAGTTTGAGAGGTAAAGGTTCTGTCAGATTCTTGGTTTTCATGTGACTAAGTTGTTTTTTTAACTTCCTCTGTTTGTGTAATGTCATTATGTGTGTTTGTCTTAGCATCCTTCAAGGGGGGTGGGGGGGGTTGAGAAATTTGACAAGATCCAAAAATGACAACCCTCCTCCTCCGCCCCACTGTTGAGAGATAGGAAGAGCTGAACTCTCGTCCAGTGCTGAATGCATGAACTCAGCGGTGGACTGCTTGCCTGTAATCATTCCACTGATGATTTTCCTGGATGTGCTGAAATTGTTTTCGTGATTGGTCACAAATTAAATCTCTTGTGTTGTTAAGTTATTTGTTTGAAATACCTATTTAAGATCTCTGAGTGTGTACAGAGCTCCCCTCCCCATCAGGTCCCCTTCTCACTGTACTAGCTCAGTTGTGTGTGTTATCACCTGCGGCAATAGACTGAATGGTTCATCCCCCATCTTGACATCACTTCTTGTAAGACTTTTCTGTGTGCAAATGTTGAAGTCTGTACTCAGGGGGGAATGAACACCCCCCCCCCCTCCTCCCCTCTTATTGAACTATATTGCGTATGTTATTGAGATGACACGTAAAAGTGTTCGTTATTTCTCTCTCGGCTGCAGACTGTGCTCTGTTTCTTCTGTACATTCTTACGACACATAACTTTTGATGTTGTAGCGTGTTGCCATAGACAACATTCCACTGACCTCTCAGAATAAATCTGAAGACCATTCCATGTGCTTTATTGAAACGTAAACCTCAGTTCTGTAAAGCCCTGTAGAACGTTTTTGATGCTTTCTCTGTCTTTGTTTCTTCTTCAAAGTGGGAAAAAGAATGTCTCTGACAGAAATTAATAAATGAAAACCTCTGTGATTGACTGCCAAGAAACGTTAGTCAGTTGTATGAAGAGTTATGCTTGTGAGGCATCAAAAGTATCACTGGGATGATTCGCTGTCTACTCAATGGAAAAAAACATGATTTGCAACCTTTCAGATTTTCATGAAGACAAGATTTTCTATTTTCACAGGCCTCTGCTCACAGCTCGCATAGGGTTACAACATTCACTTTCGTGATAAATTTTGTTTTATCTCCTTGTTTTTTTACAATGTAGAGTATTGGTCTGTCAAATCGGAAGGAAACTTATTTTTTCTCTTGTGAGTTTGTACCATAGGGCATTGAGGTTGCGTCTTGATTTTTTAAATTCAAATTTTAGGTTTTTAGCAGCTGGTTTTTGTTGTTGTTTTTTTTAAGAGTTTCCAGAGGGGAAAAAATGTCAAGTTATGTCAATGTTGTTTTGAGGAAACGTAATTTTCTCTTCCTATATGAATTTGTACAGCTTTGAATTTTGCAGATGGCAAATTTGGTCTTTGTCCATCATGACTCACTACCATCGACCTATATTCTGTCCCGATAGTCTAACTGTGTGCCTAAGATGTGAACAAACACAATGTGGCTCTTGACATGTAGTTTGTATCGATCTTGTACCATCCCTCTTCCATCAATTAGCAGGCAGCGGAGCTCTTCACAACATGATGTCTAAAACGAAGTGCAAGTGTTTAAAAAAAAGAAACCAACAAAATTTTGGGCGGTTTATTGAGCAGAGAGAGAAGTCTTGTGTATCGGACATTCAAAGATCTGTATATATATTTACGTAAATGAAATGAGTATTACAGAAAAATGAAGTTATCCGAGAAGAGGATGAGGAAGGAGAGAGGATGAAAAGACTACAGACCTCCTGTAAATGAGTTATACAAACAGCTGATGATTGACGGGTGTAAGATGTACTGTCTGTTGGAGATGCCCTTTCGTATGCTTGCGTCAGTGTCTGTTGTAATTTTGTATCTACAACTTGTATTGCTTACATCAGAAAAACGCTAAGAAGGGAAGTTTAACATGAAAAGATTTTTGTGCTTGTTGTACATGTAAAGCAGAGAGAGATGAAATTTCTGCTTGTTTTTCAGTCAGATTAGACTTTGTCCTTTGTAACACCGAGCTTTTTATGATGTTGCAGAGAAGTTCTGACAGTTATAGAGCTAATTAATCTATTGTCAGTGTCCATAGACATACACCATGCATCACCACGTTTCTTCTTTGTAAAGTTGCAAATCATAAATGTGTGTCGTGTGCATTTGATGACAATGTTTGTGGATGTTCAAGACAATTTCCTGCAAATTCGAGATGCCAATTTATGAGCAAGCTCTCGTGGTCTCGTCGGCTGGTCAATAAAACCGATTCATTACAAGTACCTTGTTCTCACATGTCCATGGTTGTTGTTAGCCTTAGGTCCTGACGAAATTCTCTGGTGACTGTCATGTTCCAAATATGCAATATTCACTATGATGATGCTGTCAGGCTGTATATTTCACTGTTCGAGTAATCTGGATTTTCACCCACACTCACACCCTCAGAGTATGAGAAGTTGCTCTTTGATACATTATCATCATATTATTATTATTATGATTAATCTAGCATTGGTACCTGGTTTTTTTTTTCGGTTTATCAGAAAGATAGGACCCCCATTATGAAAGTGGAACGAACTCAGTTGCCTGAAAAGGGTGCCCCCGGTAGTTTGAGCATGTGTGGCCTAAATAAGCTACCCCCCCCCCCCCCTTACCTTCAGTACCATGCGTGGGGGTAGTTCTTGCTTTTTATATCGATGTGTTGTTTTAATTCCACAACTAGGACGGATTTCAGTTGTAGCTTTATAGTTAATGGTTTTTTAAATTTTGTTTTTGTTTTTTCGATTTTATGAAAGTATTTAATGGTTCTTCATACATTGTGACTGACTGTGAGTTCTCATCATTTGTCACTTTGGACTGTTTGTTTGTTTGTCTGTTTGTTTGTTTGCTTGTTTGTAAATGTTATGCATTACATGAGCTTGAGGGACAAACATATTCAAGTCCTCAGCGTTGCTTTGTTGATGTTTTGTTGCTGTGCAATCTATATTTTAAAGGAAATTGCTATCATGATGTCAGTTTTATAGACAAAGGCACAGTCCTATGTGTGTGTATGTTTCTGCAGTTATCCTAGCCTCCCTCCCTCCCTCCCTACCACCCATACTTGCTTGTGGAGGGAGGGGTTAAGGAAGGGGGGGGGCTATGTGTGAGCGACCGTGGCTTCAGTACGTGCAATGCGCTCACCGACCAGACACAAACCGTATTTACTTCCCACGTCACTATACACGCCTAGAGAAATATACATATTATCTTTGTGATGGAGAATTGATGTTCTGAAGCGGTGATTTGATGTATGGGTTGTTCTTTTCTTATTCTTTTTTCTTATTTTTTTCTTCTTCTTTTTCTTTTTTTTTTTTTAAATTACCGGTAAGTGATAAACCGCTCTGTGTATTTCGCCATATGAGATCATGTGGTTGTGTTTGAGATTTGATTGTGAGCTACTTGCTTCTACAACTTTGCTGTGAGTTCTTTTTGGAATTTTTTTTTTTTACTATTATTATTATTTTTTCAAATTTATTAATTGTTGTGTTTTTAATTATTTTATTTGAGTCGTACATATATATATAAATATATATTATTCATAGAACCCCATGGTATATTTATTTCTATTCAGTCACAAATGTGATTAAATATCATTAAATAAGTTATGGTGTTTGAGTTTTTGATTACTTGTTTTTTCTCGAGTGAGAAAAATCATTAGCATCATTCCACATGGGTGGTTGGCAAGTGCTCTAGTGTGGTATGCTCCTTTCTTTTCGAACATCCACCTTCCTTATCTCTTCTTTTTTTGTGGTTGTTCCTCTCTTGTAACACCTCTTATCTTCGGTGGGTGGTTGGCATGTGCTCTGGTATGGTTTGCTTCTTCTTTCCTATCAAACATCTATCGTCCTTATCTCCCCTTCTTCTTGTTTATGTTTGTTACTCTCTTGTAACACCTCTAATCTATTCTGGTGCTCATATGACCTTATATTGTGTGCGCCGTAAAACCTCTACTAAAACGAAAACTTACTCTAATCTTCGGCACTTTTATAACCTAATTGTGTTGCAATTGCTGTAAAACTATTATTAAACTTTAAAAAAAATCTGAATAAAGCATCATGGGACAGCTTAGAATATAGGCCTTCAGTTCAAATTGTGCAGGCGGTCAGCCTTTGTCGAGGAGAAATGTGTTTGTCTCAATCTGAAGGACGGTGGGTAACTGGCGGGTGCTCTGGTGTGGTTTGCTCCTTCTTTCCTATCAAACATCTATCGTCCTTATCTCTCCTCTTTCTTTTTTGTGTTTGTTACTCTCTTGAAACACATCTAATCTTGGCCACTTATATGACTTTATTGTGTTGTAAGTGCCGTAAAACACTTACTAAAACTTAACAGAAGGACGTCTTACACAGTGTTGTTATAATGATGAAAAAGAGCAAGAGGGAGGAGGGGGGGGGAGTGGGTAGTGGTCATTTGTTCAGGTAATTGTCTTGGACAGGTGGCCATAAGAGCAGGATTGGCCCTTCCTATGTTTCTTACTAAGAAATAATGATTGCTCGTGCGATGGCGTGGATCTGATTTTGCTCTCTCTTTTTTTTCTCTCAAAACTTCAAAAATTGACGTGGAGGATAACCATGAAGGACCTTTGAACAAAGAAAAAAGAGGAGAATTTTGTTTTTAACCTTGTTTGAGGTTGTCAGAACGACATCCTTACTGAAGGGCAGACTGCCTTGAGGTACCACCAGAGACTCGCAGTCCCAGTGTGGGTAGTTGGAGGGTGCTTTGGTGTGGTTTGCTCCTTCTTTCCTTCCAAACATCTATCGTCCTTATCTCTCCTCCTTCTTTTTTGTATTTGTTACTCCCTTGTAGCACACCTGATCTTCGGCACTTATATGACCTTATTGTAATGCAAATACCGTAAAACGCTTACGAAAACGGAAAAGCAGTCTCAGCTAACTTGGGTTTTAGAACCCTCCCCCCCCCCCCCCCCCCCCCCAGCAAAAATAAAGAAGAAACAACAGAAACAAACAACCCCCCCCCCAAAAAACAAAAACAAAAAAACAAACAAACAACCCCCCCAAAAAAAAACAACAATAACAAAAACAACAAAACAACTTGGGTTTGAGGGCCAGTAAGACGGTCAATTGAGTCATTATCGACTATTGCCATCCTCCATGGTTGTTTTCCATTGGCCTGCTGCCACCAACTTCGAAGCAGCGGCTGGGAAGAATGCCTAGATCTTCATCTGCTGGTACAAAGGACATAGGGGGCCTACACCATACATATGACATACACCATACATATGACATACACCATACATATGACATACACCATACATATGACATACACCATACATATGACATACACCATACATAGGACATACACCATACATAGGACATACGCCATACATAGGACATACGCCATACATAGGACATACACCATACATATGACATACGCCATACATAGAACATACACCATACATAGGACATACACCATACATATGACATACACCATACATATGACATACACCATACATATGACATACACCATACATATGACGTACACCATACATATGACGTACACCATACATATGACGTACACCATACATATGACGTACACCATACATATGACGTACACCATACATAGGACATACACCATACATAGGACCTACACCATACATAGGACCTACACCATACATAGGACCTACACCATACATATGACATACACCATACATATGACATACACCATACATATGACATACACCATACATAGGACATACACCATACATATGACCTACACCATACAAATGACATACACCATACATATGACATACACCATACAAATGACATACACCATACATATGACATACATCATAATATTATTTATTGCCCACCGTTGCCGCGAACAACGGCGAGGGGGTTCTCGTGGTCTAGAGGTTAGAGTTCGCCTCCCATTCAAAGGTCCCGGGTTCGAATCCGGGTAGCGACCGAAAAATCTTTCTTCTCTAAAGTTGTCTCCTTTCACCTCCTTTCCTGCTCTCTTGCAATGTTCTGTCGTCTGCTTTCGTCTCCTCTTTCTGCCCCCACACCCTCACCTCCTTTGCCCCCTCCTCTGGGCTCCTGACTCTTTCTGCAGTCTTTCTGCTGCTACTCCTAGGCTCCCTCTTACTGTTGTCTTTCAGCCACACCCCTGATCTTCTGGTAGGAAAGATATACACTTACCCTTCTCGGACAAGGACGAAAAATCTCTGAGGTGCCGTGCACAAGTTGCGCACGTTAAAGATCCCTTGTTGGTCCAAAAATCGATAAAATTGGGCTTCGGCCGCCACCCAGGCAAAAATCAAGATTTCCTGCCAACCGAAAATGTTTAATGTGTCCTGCGCGCTCATATGACATTATGCAGTTGCGAGCGCCGTAAAACACTTTAAAAAAAAAAGAAAAGAAGAACGGCGAGAGGCATTGAAGTTGTTCGCTGAAATCCTCTAGGGTGTGGAATTCGCCCCCTGATGTCATGCTTGAGCACCAGCCAGTCCATGTCACAGGTTGTACTGGTTACCTGTTACTAGTAGCAGAGATTTTCATGGAAATGACAACTTCTCTCCCTTTCTCTCTCCCCCCTC